TTTATTTAATTTTCTTGTTTTTATTACTATCAAATGTATTCACTCACTTTGAGTAATGAACTAATCAATTTAAGGTGTTTGTCTGCCCCTGAAATCCAACATTTTGATATAGTAATATCTTATACTACTATATCAACATTTTGGAAAGACCTTATTTAGTAGCACAAAGACTCAATTAAATGTGGATAGCAGGTGAATAATAGGCTCACTTATAAAATTTAAATAATATATGCACTGGTTAATGATTGATTTCTAAATAAATTAATATGCTTAGATTAAGTGATGATGTATTCGCTATTAACTAGGTAGAAAAAACTTAGTAACGGTGCATATATAAACCTTATTTTTTATTTTAGTTTTAGTTAAAATCATGAAATGCCTTGAAATTGTGCCACATGTCCATTCATCAATCCATCACTATATCAACTTTGCATAACCTGAAAAGTTTGATGCATGAAGTTCCAAAAAAAGGAACAAAGGAAGTAATGTTGCCATACAAAAAATGAGAAGAGTGATTAAACTTGATTTTAAATTACTTTTAGAGTGTTTTTATAGAGTTGTTCTTACTTCTTTTGAGTTATGATTAAATGATAAATAATATAAATATATTATGCATAATCTTTATTGTTAGTTTTTATTATACCATAATCAAAATCCAATTCAAAGAGAATTATCTTCAACATTGAAACCAAGCCACGTTGTGATTTCAACCATTCCATGTCATGAGTGTTCCCAACTGAAATAAACACCTAACCAGTTACGGAGTCCTCAATTTCTGTTTCTCATTCTTCAAACTTTCATAATTTTCATAACCAGAACCAACCATGTCTCAACCTCAGAATGGTTCTTCTGACCACACCCCCCAACACCACCACCACCACCACCACCACCACCCTCATGTTCCACCACCCAAACGTGACCATAACCCTGACAACTACGACGACATGCCATTGCAGTTCAATCATCTTATCTTCACTTCTCTTGAGCAGTACTTGCCTCCTCACGTGCTCAACCGTTCTCGTGAAGATAAAGCCAACTACATGGTCAACATTCTCCACCGCTATTTACCTGAGAATGAACGCATTCGGGTATCCTTTCAATTTTCAAACTTTTATGGGTTTTATGAAATTAATTGGTTATCTGAGATACCCATAAGGGTATTTGAATTTCAATGCCGTGTCTTTATTCTTAATTTGTGTAAATATTTGATTTTGATTTTTCCCATAACTAATTAGGTTCGCCAGGCATTGATGATACGTGGAAATGAGTTGCGGCATTATGCTTGCTAGTTGTTGCTTCGCTTAGATATATTGTGAAAGAATTTTGGGAACATTATGATTATTTATTGATTTTGATGTTGCCTTTGATCAATGGGATTCACTGGGCATTGAGGATATTGGGAATCGAATTGTTACATTATGCTTGCTAGTTGTGTATTGACTTCGGATAGACTGAGAATTTATGGGATGATGTTGATTATTTACTGTTTGCAATTGTGAGAGTAGAAAATTGGTGGGAAACCAATTTGGATCCTTGTTTGCTTCTAATAGATGAATGTATGTTGTCTGTTTTAAGTGGTCTTCCACTTAGACATGATCTCAAATCATTCATGTTATTTTACGTTTCTTCTTAGAATGATGTCAATCTGATATTTACTTACCATACCCTTCTATCCATCAAAAGTACTTGAATTGATATTTTGGGAATGTTAAGGCAAAACCATGGATTTTATGGAAGTTTAATGTTCCGTTGGGAGTTGGGACTCCAATAGTCTGGAAGGTCTGAATTTTTTGTTTGCAATTGTTTTTGGGAGTGTGGTCTTGGTCATGATATCACAACTTGGTTGTCATTTTAAGTTCTGGTGTACTTCTAGAGTTACATCTTCATGTGGGGTTTCTGTTTTTTTTGTCCTGGTATTTTAACTTTTGGCTTGGTTTTGTTATTCAAGTTTTTGAGCTTTTATTGTTCTGCTCTAAATTAAACAGATTCAAAAGCACAAGGAGTACAGGCGGAAGATCTTATCGAATTATACTGTAAGTTCTGTGATGAACGTTTCAAAAGTACATTTGTCCATTTGTAAAAAGTGAATATATATATGGTTTTATTTTATGATTCTTTCGGGCATAATTTCAAATCATGGAAACGACTGCTTCACGTGAGAAGGTTAGATTGAATACGTCTACCCTCCCCAGATCCCAATATGTGGGAGCCCGTGCACTGGGCCACCCCTCTTCCGGAAATTGTGGGAGCTGGTGTCTTTGGGATAACTTTTGAAGGAAAGCATACTTTACTCGAGTGCTTATCAATGATAATTGGAAATATCAACACTTTTATATCAGGATTTTCCAACCGGAGAACAATTATTGTGTATCATTTTCCTTATGTAGCATCTATATACCAATCGTGTGAGATCTTACCAATTATTCACTTTTTGTAGCCTCTACATAAGGAGATATATTCCGTGCACGTCGAAAACTTTTTTGTGCCCTCATTTCTCCAAGCAATTAAAGAAAATAGAGAAGCGGGCTTTAGAAGAGTAATGGCTGAACCTGTAAAAGGAATTTTAACATTTCAAATGCTTCAACCAAAATTTTGTGAAAAGTTAATATCCGAGGTACCGCATTTATTTTCTTTCCCATATATCATTATATCTGTTCCATATTAGTGTTTTATGTTTTCTTATCGGGTTTTGTTTGCTTAGGTGGATCATTTTGAAAGATGGGTCAATCAGACCAAATTCAGAATCATGCGACCTAATACAATGAATCAATATGGTGCTGTTCTTGATGATTTAGGCATGGAAACTATGCTTGACAGATTGATGAATGATTTCATATTGCCTATATCTCGAGGTTTGTTTTAGTTATCTTAATGAGAATGGAGGAGAAACTTATGACCGAGATAAATAGCATGAACTCACTTCTGCATTGTGAATTGTTTTTTGCTTTTATTTTGCTGTGTAGTTTTCTTCACTGAAGTTGGTGGATCCACACTGGACTCTCATCATGGTTTTATTGTTGAATACGGAACCAATAGGGATGTGGAACTTGGTAGGTTTTTCAAACTTATGTAGCGTGTAATTAGTTATGTGACAGCTATTTCCTGGAATCTGTAGTAAGTTTTTTGAAAGATGAGTGGAGTATAATATTTTAAGCAGATCTGGTTATGTTTTCTAATTTTGTTTAATTAATTTACTTTAATCATATTCTTTATGCTATCAACCTTTATCTGCTATCTTACATGTTTTGATTGACTCATGTCGCATTACTCCCTAATCTCTCATGATAGTTAGATATTTTTCTCTGACGGATTCAATTCAATACTAGACCTGTTTCCTTATTGAATTGCTTAAGTGTGATTCTTAGGTAGTTCCTTTATTAGTATTACACAAGTGTATCTGATTTCTTTACATTCTTTTCCACCTGTCTTTTATTTTCCTCTTTATATGCCTTTGTTGAAATCTGAAGTGCAACATTTCACAGGCTTCCATGTGGATGACTCGGAGATAACTCTGAATATTTGGCTAGGAAAAGAATTTTCTGGTGGAGACCTGTTTTTCAGGGGTGTTCGATGTGATGAACATGTGAATACAGAGACCCAATCAGAGGTACGTCTATTACTACTTTGCTAAAAAGCCACACTGATGTGAACCCAAGTGAGCCCAAACTGGATAATGATAATTTAAGGGGCATAAGTGGCCCCATGACAAGGGAAAGGCCAAACGGGTACAAGAGGCACTTGGACTACTCATGGAAGGCATCAAAGAGAATGCTCCACGTTCAAATCAAGGGAGTCCTCACTTCATTCATTATGTGACTTTGCATGTTGGCCGAAATGGGGAAAATAATTCCCAAACATCTTAATTGGGCCAAGGCCGTGTCCAAGGCATGACTAGGACATCTTTAATGTGTCCTAATTGTTTTTACTAGTTCTAACTTACTTTATGCACAATTCAAAGTCCAAAATTGCTTCCTTAAACTCATGGGGACCAAGGCATTAAAGGATGGCCGAATTTCTCTTTCAATTGGCTGGACCACTTCATGGAAATTCAAAGTGTCTTGCATTTTGTAATTTAATTACTTAGGAATTCCCATGTAGGACATTTACTTGCATTATTTTCGTGTTGAACATGGCTGGAAGGGTGCAATGTAACCAACCATGTATTAGGATTAATCTAGTCCAAAATAAGCCTTGATTCATGGTAGAGTCACGTGGGAACCATCATGGTTTGCCTATAAGTGTACTTCTAATTTGCTGAATGAGATTAAGTTTTGTTGGAATTAAAAATTAAGGAGTATTTCCTTGTGTGAGAGCTTTGTCTTCTCCAAACTTCTTGGCTGAACCAAGATTAAAAGTTCTTATCAAGAACCAAGTTCTTATGGCGAACATCACCCGACTTATCAACACTCAAGTATTGTGGCGCCTACCACCCCATATCTTACCCATCTTCTGCTGCCAAAATTCATCAACAAAATAGCCCATAAAAACGTGGGCAAAATGCAACACCAATCAAGATAGATCAATACCAAGAACTTCCTAAAGAGGTTCACATCACACACTCAATACACAAGGCTCCAACCTAGTGACTAGTGAGGTATGAGTATGGTAGATATACAAACCCTTACCCTTACGAACGAACAAAGAGGTTGTTTCCAACAACTATTACTTTACTGTGTGGGGAAAATTATAAAAAAAAGGTGGCACGGTGCGTGAGTTTCCTACTTAGTGGTCTCTAGGAGGGTAGATGTATATACTCTTAACCTCGCAAGCGAAAAAAACTGATTATATGGGGAAATTAGCTACATTATATTCACCGGCATGGATTTGAACTCTATTTTATACTTCGAAGGGAAAAATGAAGCGCCCACCAGTTTATTCATATAAAGATGTACTTATTTTTTGCATGACACGTGATTGTTAAAAGACAAATTCATTCTGAACTTTAAATTACTTTTTTTTGGAATTTGATTTTTTGGGTGCAAGCTTAATATAGAGAAGTTGTTGCATACAGCTAGGATTTCAGAATATCCAAAATGAGGGTGAGACAATAATGCAATTCCAGGCTATTCGTGACAACATGCTATATTTCCTAAGTAACTGAACAAATACATTATGAATTGGTTTATTCATTTCATAAAATTCATAGTGAATACCCAATGGCATTATAGTGATATTTTAATAGCTATTGACCCAATGTAAGTATACAACTTTCACGTAGATATCTTTTTATTTTTTCCCTTTCCAATCAAATTTTTGTAGGAGATCTTTGATTATTCTCATGTACCGGGACATGCTGTTCTTCACCGTGGTCGTCACCGGCATGGTGCTAGACCTACAACATCTGGTGCAGAAGGTATTTGCATCAAATAGTCTAGCTCCTTATTTCAGTTATGCAGCAAATTATGTGATTTTAGAATACCATGGCCTTTCTTTTGCATTCCTCCGGCATTACATTATTTATGAGGTTATGAATATCTCTTGTTTTTTCATTCTATCCTCTACTCAATGCTTATATCTTAAGCATTATCTTATATCAATTGCGGCCACCAAACAGGTAACATAACAAATGTTTGAGATGAAGAAAACTTCCAAGAGTAATCTTGTCATCTCCATGAAATTAATTGTGTCCTTACTTTCCAGGAATTACTGAGGATGACAGTTTAATCAACCTTATGACCTTGCATGTCCACATTCTACGTGTACAGTTTTATCATAAGAATGTACACAACTTGACATGTACAAACTGTGCTCCCTTTTTTCCTGCACTATGTTGTGCTTATTTTTTATTTTTTTGGATTCAGGATTTAACAACAACAACCGATTCTTAGTCCCATTAGGTTTTGTCAGGATTGTTTTTATAAATTGAAACATACGAGTTGAATGTAATATAACTTACTTTTTGTTCCCCATTTGGGGCTATGCCTCTGTTTATTAATTTAGAAGAAATTAGATGGTATTCCCCTCCATTAAAGTTCACCCATTCCCTTCTTTGAATTAGAAAACGTCAATGAATAAAAATGAAGATATCTTAAGAATTTTGAGTGAGAGAAATGCAGTTTTCTCCTTCCACCACTTGAGGAAGAATTAAGAAAACACATGTGGGACGTCAAGTCTCGTGTGATTAAATAACTAAATTTAATGGGTGAAAATGAGTTGAGTTTGACTCTGCTTAGATCGACTTGTTAAAGATTGACTCGAGTCGAGGTCAATACGACCTATTTTTTTTGACTCAATTAAAGTTTATGGGTTATGGAACTTAAATTTGTGTTGTCAAGCTCGAAATATAATAATTGATTTATGTATATTTTATTAAGATAAAATTGAGAATAAATATATATGTATATTTATACATAAGATAAAATTGAGACTTTTAAATTGGTTTTTATGAAAAATGTAATTTTAATATATGTATAATATATGTTATATTCAAATATTTTGTTATTAATATAAAAAGTATATTTATATAATAAACATAACATATTTTAAATATATATATATATAGCATTATAACGTTGTTGTTTGACCCATGTAATTAATTTTATTTAGTGGGATAAAAACTTAATTATGTATATATAATCAACACTATTGAATAGTAATTTAAATTTATATGACTTACAAATGTTTGACAATATAATTGCAAAAGCTGGGAGCTTGAAAATGTAACAGGAAGTGAAGCCAGAATTGCAAGTAGTAATGCAAAGTAGGATTATAATTCATCCAAACTGAACCCCTCTTATCACTTGAGTCATTGAAGAGGTGCATTAATTAATATACTTGAAGTTTATTATGTATATGTATTATAGTATTGAATTTGCTATAGATAGTAACCCCTTCAACTTTATTATGTATATGTATCATGTCCCATGTGTATTGGACAATACTTCAGCTAAACAGTCATAATGATGCAAGTGTCTATATTAAACAAAACCTACCATAGAAATATCCTTCAATTAGAAGAATAAAGAAACCAACCACTTTAACCTAAATTTCAACTACATGTGTTAATGAATTGAATTTTTTTAGCATGGTAGGTCAAAGTATAAGACAACGGTTTCTTAAGGAGGAGATTTTACAATCCATTGTCCACGAGGATAGTTTACCAATAAACTTGTATGCTAATGATTTTTATAAAAGTGAAGTTAAAAAACCTATCTACAGAAGTGAAGTTAAAAAACCTATCTATGCCTTATTGAAGAAAGAAAACCCCTTTTGCTTGTACATAAAAGAATTCCAAGATCCAAAACTTCGAACCTTTGAAAACAACAAATTGGTTTCCAAGATCTTCTCTTCTGAAAATAGAATGACTACTTGATCCTTCTGTGGGGTTTCATTTCTAGAATTATGTAACCAATGAGGTTAAGCGCAGTTGCTTGAAGAGTGGTTTCTTAACCACGAGATTGTTTTTTTATCTGTCAGGGCCCATACATATATATATATATATATATATATATATATATATATATATAACTTTCTATAACAAATATATTCTTTGATTAAAATGAAATTATACGTTTACTAATTAAAATAAATGAAAAATATGCATTTACTTATCCATTAATATAAAGTACATTATGTTTTAGTGAAATTACACAAATCACATCTCTTTTTTGTCGTTGCATGAACCACCACCTCTCACTTACACAAATCACCATTGATTTTATACATATATTACACTGACTATCTCCGATGAGATATAAATGTAATATTTTAAACAAAAAATATGTGGTGAATATAATTAAGATAAACAAAATATTATATAGTGTATATAATTCTAAATAGTACAAAATTGTGTGTCTTTTTATTATTTTTGTTTCATTGCACATGTTAACAATTCTAATGAGATGTTTATATAATTTTTATATTATTTTCTAATGAACCAAATAATAAAGATGCATTGACTATTATATTATTCTGATTTGTGTACACAATATACAATATTTTGTTTAACTTAATTAGACACATCACATGTTTTTTTGTTTAAAATATTATACTTATATCGTATAAAATTATGGATGTTTCATGTAAGAGAAATGATGTTTGTGTAAAAACATAAAAAGATGGATAGTTTATATTATTTCACTGAAACTCTATGGGTTTAAGTGTAATTAAATCTAAAATTAACTTGAAGCCGTCCTTGAAATTGACACATCATGTATCTAACAAGATCGAAATCCGATGTTAAAGTCCAAAGTGCACAACTTTCTGTCTCAAAAGGCATCATAGTCTCTTTTTTGAATTACTTTGCCTCTCTTCTCATTCTCTTTTTTATTTTCTTTTGTACGTTTGGTAACATATCATTGTCTACTTTGCATCTCTTATCGAACGAAGAGAAATCAAAAGCTCAAGAGTGACACAATGGAGAGAAGAAAACTTAGAAAACCAAAGTCACATTTCCTTTATATCAAATTCATAACAAAGCAAAATTCATATCAGCAACCTCCTATGCATCTCTTACATTCGATGTTTCCATCATAGATCATAACATAAACATAATTGGAATTAAATATAAAAAAACAAAGACAAAAATCAGTGGTGAATACGTAAAAAAACAACATGATACAAAACCAATAAATAAGAACCTAAAGTTAAAGGTAATTCGGACCGTTACCCTCAATTCCCCGCAATGCAATAATCATACTCTCCCAGTTCTGCACCTTATATATGATGATGGTTTGAGTGTAATTGCAAAGCCTTTGTTATGTGTATTTTTTCATTGATTTCACCTTTGGTTCTTCTTTATAGAAGAGCCCTTCCACACTACACCACCACCGTCGTCTACGACGGAGCGAGAATTCTCCACCATGGCCGCCTGAACTTTCGAAGATACCCTTTTAGAGGCCATGTTAGTGGGTGCTTGGAAAAGCTATGAATCAGTACATAAATTTTTGCTATTAAGTGAAAATGCCCTTTTAAAGGAAGTGAAAACGCCTCAAACTATAGCTATATAGTTATATATATGCTATTAAGGCTTGGAAGAAGGAACTGAAAGAGAGAGGTAATAAGTATAGGAAGAAGACTAGGGGAGACATGATTGGTCGTATATAAAGGAGAGGTTTTTATCTTATGGTTGTATATTAATAGAGTGATACTTTATTTATTAGTGATTAATTTATAAGTGACATATGTTATTTTATTGTGGGTAGGAAGATTAGTAGGAGGATATATCATTTTCCATATTAATATTATTATGACACATAACATTTTTATTATTTTAAATATACACTAAAATAGGAATATATAATTTATTATTAATGATAATCATAAATTTAAATTTAGAGATATAATATTAAGAGTGTAATATTTATGTGCATGTAAATATTTATATACAACTAATGTATTGTTTATAATTTATTTGTATTACTTTTATTTAATAGTTAATGATTATTAAATATAAATGGTAGATGATAATATAAAAAACTCTTATCTTATATATTTTTTCTCTGATATTAATGACATATAAGTTGAAATATAACTTATTAAGAAATAAAATAGGAGAAAAACTAACTAATACCCACTAAAATCTAAATATCAGTTGTAAGCATAGAACTATATATTATTATTAATTTATTAGTATATCATTTATAATATGCACGTGAAATTGTGAATGAAAAAAAAGTGGAATTAAAATTCTTGGTCTAATTGCCTATTTATGGGGAATGCAAAAAAAACTCCACTAACACGGTTTCCTATGCTCTTGAAATTTTCATATTCATTTTTTCATTGAGGAAAAAAACTAAAAATATAAATAGTAGAGAGTTTGATGGGGATTGTTCGTCTTGTGTATGTGATTGATTAAGTAGTAATTTTCTCACTACGCTGCTCAACACCGAATGAGGCATTTATGGGCAACTTTTAGCATTTATTACCTTATTACTGAGAGAGGGATGAGTTGGGAAAGACGGTAGATCTCTTATATGATTGAGTTAGGATCACCTCGAACAGTAAAAAGATCAATATTTTAAAACATAAAAGAAAATAAATTTTTTACTATATATTTATACTTTTTATTATAATAAAATTATATTTTTAATATTAAAAACAAATGTAAAAATATGTATTTATCTCTCTATTAACATATTGAAAAGGATGTTGTTCCCAATATGTGTAGTGTATTAACCTAGATTGTAGTGAAAGGATATTAGGGCGATGGTTGGCCCAAGGTGCAGCCAACCCCCCACCAAGAAAAGGATGGAATGAAAGAAAATTAGAAGAAAATAAAATATTTCTTTACACTCCTATGACATAATTTATTTTGTTCTTTTTCTTCCCTCTGAAAATTTCCATCTTAAAATTATTATAAAAATAAAAATGACAAATATCAAATAACGAATGAATTTAAAGATATAAGTTATCCACTGGTAAAAGGAGATAGTTTATCAAATTAAAAATAATCAATTTCCACACTTCAATGTTTAAATTCCCTTATAAAATCTTATTTTTACA